TTGGTTGAATCAAGTTTACTTCGGGTTTTTTTTTTGCTAATTTTATCTTTTAACATTAAATTAATTTGATATTTAGGTTCTCAATGTTTTTTTTTTTAAGATTATACCTGCAATTTTTACATGTCAACCCGAAATGACTTAGATTGATTCAATATGTTTCCTTCTCAATGTTAGATAAAAATATCATTTAGTATGTAACTGATTTTAAATTCATCAATAAGATATTTTTACTTTTTAAAAATACATGTTACCAATACCTTTTTTTTATTTGGTCAATTTTTTTATGTACTACAGGCTAATGGCCTAACCTAGGTGTTATTTTTTGTATCAATAGGTTCCATTTTATAAAGGTGGTTTGACCTAAGTGCTTTTTCCTTTTTCTTGCTCAAGGAAGTGGATCTAATTACGTGAATCATTTTGAATTCAGATTGATTTTGGTTTTTTGAGATGTTTTTGGGTTTTTGATAACCATATATAGGTTTATTAAGATGTTTACGATGTTTTCTAGATATTTTTGGTCAATAATGAGTTTTAAATTAAAAAAAAAACCGAACCTTAGTTTTTCAGCAATTTGTAGAAAGTAGGGGCAACACATTGTCTATTTTATTTTTTTAAGAAAAATGGTCCACCCCTTTAAGAAATTAGAAAAAAAATAAGATAGGCCTAAGGGCATTTGCTGAGCTTTTTTTTTAATGCCTAGACTCACTTGGGTAGGCTTTTTTTTTCTTCTATTTTATATTTAGTTTTAAAAAATTGATAAAAATAAATTATTGAACTTAATTGAGTTCATTATCTAGGCAGCAATTTGACGGGTTGAAAGCCGTGGACGCGTGTTCCTCACAAACCCAGTAAGTGGTAGCGTCCATGCTATTAAGATGGCAAGTATGATGCTTCTTAATAGCTAAATTTGGTCATCCATCGTCTAATTGGATATACAATTATGTCCTCTTCCACATGGTGTGGCGCGTGTAGATAAATAATGGTTGGATTGCCGCTAGTGATCGATTATTTGTGGTTTTGCTTTCTTCCACAAGGGTATTCTTGTGTTTTCAATTTCCAAGTATAGTCAAATAACGCTTTTAGCCTTAAAAAAGACAAAAACAAAACTTTGCCTTTGGAGGTATTTTGAAATTTTTACATGGGTGTTTTGTATAATGAAGAGGACTGTAGGAGTGCTTTAGTATTCTCACGATGTATTAATTATTTTTTAATTGAAAAGCCGTGGACGCGTGTTCCTCACAAACCCAGTAAGTGGTAGCGTCCATGCTATTAAGATGGCAAGTATGATGCTTCTTAATAGCTAAATTTGGCCATCCATCATCTAATTGAATATACAATCATGTCCTCTTCCATATGGTGTGGCGCGTGTAAATAAATAATGGTTGGATTGCCGTTAGTGATCGATTATTTGTGGTTTTTTCTTTCTTTTCTATTTTCTGACAACTAAAGTGAACAATTATCCTTTTTATTTGTTATTTGTCAAATCATGCATATTTGCCAGACCCAAAATGTTTAGGTTTAACATTGTTGCAAAAAAATTAAAAATTTTCAAAAGCATGATTAGATTGCAAAAACAAACATTACCTCATTCAATTAAGATTTTTTATTCATATGCAATAGAACTTAACTGCAAACTCTTTTTTGTTTATGCAACTTATTTTATAAATTTATTATATTCGAAGAGGAAAGAATGAAAAAAATATTAAGTTCTAAGTGATTTATTATTTATGCATTATTGATGAAAATATTAATTTTACGTTTCCATCTAAATGTTGGACAATTTTTAAAATGGTTCATGCTTTCTTAAATTTAAGATGTTGTTGTATGATTTAATTGTCAAAATTTGTTACAAGAAGAATTTATTCTTCATTATAACTACTAGTGTATATGAAACTTTAAAATATATGATCAAAAGAGAAAACTTTTGAACTTTTAAATTGATACATTATGTTGTAGGAAAAGAAAACATTATATATATAAAAGACTGACTATCCTTTAATTATCTTAATTTGTGCAATTTTATAGATAATTTTTTCACTAAAATTAGAGATTAATAAAAACAATTGAGTGAATTTTAAAGATGTGTGTGGTTAATGTCTTACAATAGAAAATAGAAATACAAAAAAATAAAAATATATTTAGTTAAAAAGGAAAGGATGAAAATATAAAATAAATATATTTTTAAAACAATTATAAGTGAATTCATGGGTTCAACATGGTTACAAGATCCAGACACTTGGGTCATGTTAAACCTAGGCGCTTGGGTCTGGCGTGGCTACAAGACCCAAGTGCTTTGGGTTTGGCGTTCAAATGCATAACTGGACTGTAAAAATAAATACTATCTCATGCAAGTAGGATTTTCCATTCATATGCAATATAACTTAATTGCAAATTCTTTTTTATTTGTGCAACTTATATTTATAAATCTATTATATTCAAAGAGAAAAGAATGAAAAAACAAATGTTAAGTTCTAAGGGATTTATTTCAAGTCTTCAAAAATAAACTTTGTTTTTTTATGCATTGTGAATGGAAACATTAATTTTATGTTTCCATCCAAGTCTTGGGTAGTTTTTTAAAATGTTCATGCTTTTTTAAATCTGAGATATTATACGATTTAATTGTCAAAGTTTATCACAGGAAGAGTTTATTATACATTAGAACTATTAATATAAACAAAAATTTAAAATATATGATCATAAAAGAAAATTTTTAAACTGATACATTATGCAGTAAGAAAAGAAAATATTGCATATGTAAAAGATTTATTATCCTTTTGACTATTTTAATTTGTGTAATTTTATAGGTGATTTATTCATTAAAATTGGATATTCATAAAAAAAATTGACAAAATCTTAGAAACGTGTGTGATTAATGTCCCAAAATAAAATAAAAAATATAGAAAAGATAAAAATATATTTGGTTAAAAATAATAAAAATAAAAAATAAATATATTTTTGGAACAATTAGAAGTAAATTCTTTTATTTTATAAAAAAGATTCATGAATCTAGCATGATTGTTAGATATAGATATTTGGGTAATACGAGACTTGTATGCTTGAATCTAACATTAGGTTGATGGATCCATGTTACTTAAATCTGATAAAAAATTAAATGAATATTTAAAAATTAATATACTTGTTTAAGTTTAATAATATTATTAAAATAATTATTATATATTATTAATATTTTTTTTAGATATTAACCCTGGAAATAAACTAGCAAATATAAACACACGGGATTGTTAAAATTTCAAATCTCGTTAACATATTAACTGGTGCAAAAAACGGTGGGAGTTCCTGCCTTACTGGGGATAAGATGGTCATTTACAGGATATCTTTATGCGTCCAGGAAGTGGATTTTGGGCCGTTTGATAGCTAGCCCACGAGTTGGGGACTGGCATCATGATTTTCTTTTTCGGGGCATTAATAAAATATTCAATGACACGAATATAAAATAAATAAAAAGAAAGAAAAATTCAGAACACATTTTGTTGGAGCAGGCTACGGAAAACATGGGCGGAATCCTTTTGTCTTGTCGTGTAAGGATGTTAAGACTTTCACTCTTACATGTAACCTTTACACTAATTCATAATTACAAAAATACCTGTTGCCTTTAACTTGTGATTTTTTATCTTTAATAATAATAATAATAATAAGGTCAAAAAACAGAATCTTGAACAGAATCTTTTGCGAATCTGGCTTGTACTTTTACAGACAGATCCTTAGTTTCCTAGAAGGTCTTAAGAAACCACATGCAAAGCGTGCGAACTTAGTTAACAAACCCAGAATCCATGCATGTTGGAGCTTTTTAAAGTATTTAATTTTAAAAAATATATTAATAATATTTTTTTATTTTAAAAAAAATATTTTTAAAATCAACAAATCAAAATAATTTAAAAATATAAAAAATATATTAAATAAAAATAAAAATAAAAAAATTTAAATTCTTTTAAAAACACTTTCCAAATCACTGCCAAACGTCAAGGTACAAGAGATTTAAAATCAATGCAGAAGATACTATTTTAATTACTATATTATGTGACGAACGTTGACACGTCATCAACTGAAGAATATAAGATGTGATATTTACACTCATAACCTTATGGATGAGCGTTTTAAGAGGAGCTTATTTACCGTTATACCAATCTTATTTTTAATTAATCTGAGTAAGGATTTATATTATGTTTCTAAAATATGATGGACCTAACCCTAAAGAGGTTGAAGATGTTTTTCACTCTGTACAATTAATTGATGACCATGAGATTACCAAGTCATACTTGTAATAACAACATTATAAATATCTTTCTTGTATCCGTAAGTTACTGATTTTTTTAGTAGGTTTCTCAATTTATAATATTTTTATTAACTCTTGAAAAATTAAAAAATAAATTCACGACAACCACGTGTTTTCCAATCTTTATAATAAAAAATAAAGAAGGGTATAAATGTAGAAAATCTAAAAAAAGTGTGCACATTTGTAAAAAGGTAATTAAAACGATGTAGGTGTGCACATTTGTAAAAAGGTAATTAAAAAGATATTGGATAATAATTATTTTTTAAAATATTTTTTAAAATGTATTAAAATAATAATTTTTTATTTTTTTAAAATTATTTTTATTTTAACACATTAAAATAATTCAAAAAATATAAAAATATTATTGATAATTTTTTTTTAGAAAACGCACATTAAAATAATTAAAAAAATATAAAAATATTATTGATAAAAAATTTATTTTTTTTAGAAAACACTATTTTAATTGCATTTCTAAACGGCTTTTAAAATTATTTGCTTTTTATTTAAAAAATGTTTAAATGTTAATTTTTTTTTTAAATTATTTTAATATATTAATATAAAAAAATAATAAAAAACATTTTTAAATAAAAAACGCTTTAAAAAATTACGTTCGTTAATAATAATAATTATACAAATAAAAATAAAAACCTTACCTCACCCCCCCTCGACTACTTAATTACTCAGTAAAGACTCTCCTATCCGATGCCAGTTTTTTAATCTCTTCCTTGAATTTCTGAAAACAGATGGGAGAGAGAGAGAGAGAGGTGTGTCTTTTCCCCCCTCACAGCTGACCAAACAATCAAACGAAAAACTGCAACTCTAGAGAGAGAAACAATCACAAATAGTTTGAAAGCTCAGGAGAGAGAATAAAGAAGAAAAAGCTCAAAACTGTTTAGAGAGAGATATAGTAAAGTGGGTCTGGGTTAGTTTTGTTAGAGATAGAAAGAGAGAGGGGGAAAATTGGGGTTTGAATTTTTTAATTTATTTTTGAATTTGAAATAGTTAAACTTGTTAATTGTGATCTTAGAGTTTGTGGGCTTTTTTCTTTTTCTCCTTTCTTCTTAGTTGGATGAGCTAAGCCTAAGAGTTTCGTACCACTTCGGTATTATCAAATGGTAATTCAAAGCAAAAATAAATAAAATTCTAGGCATTTCTTCTTCTTCTTCTTGTTTTAGTTAAATTTCATGGCTATGACTTCGTGTCTGGTTTTTGTTTAGTTCAAGATGTCTTTGTTTGGTTTGTTATGTTTGCTTTGAGTTTTGAATTTAGGTTTGCTCCCATGTGCTATTTGAATCTTTTGAAGAAGTGTGTATTCATTTTTTATTTATTTTTGAAACAGTACTGAAGTTAATTTGTTATAGCTATCTTGCATATGTTCCTGAGTAGTTTGGGTTTTATTATTAAAATAATACAAAAAATTGAGATAGGGAGAAAATGAAAACTAAGAAATGATAGTGGTTGGTTACTTGATGGTGATGTGGATTGTTCTGTTTTTGAATTTTAATACTTCAGGTAGCAGGAAGTTTTTGATAGTCTTGAATTTCATGCCAGTTTCTATACAGTGGCAGTTATTTTGAATGTCAGGCTACAGATTTCGCATCAGGAAGCTAAAATAGTGTTGCAAATGATAATCCTGGCTGAGTGATTCTTTTCAACCGAAACCCTGTTGTTTTAGGAATGCCGAGAGGAAGCTAAAATAGTGTTGCCAATGATAATCCTGGCTGAGTGATTCTTTTCAACCGAAACCCTGTTGTTTTAGGAATGCCGAGACATTAAATTTCTTACTAGAACTTGAGAAATTGAGTGTAACTATCTTTTATAGTTCTTGTTTCCTTCAAAAATGGAAATGCTTTTATTACCATCTGGTTGCCTTGATATTGAGTGGGGTTTCTAGTTGAATGATATCCATATTGAGAGGCTTTCATGAAAGCTTGTCTCTTACAGCTGTCATTTCCCAACACATAAGAATTGGATTTAACTAGTTCTTACTTTGCTTTTGATCATACAATTATATTTAGGTACTCATCTTTTATATTATGATAGAGGTGTTTTGTTCCCCTTTTCTTTTTCTCGTTGTTGCTTGAACATTTAAATATTTGCAGGCAGCACCGGACAATATAATTGTTGGTTCTCATGTATGGGTTGAAGATCCTGTTCTGGCTTGGATTGATGGTGAAGTTACTCGGATAAATGGCAATGCGGTCCATGTTAAAACAGCAGATGGAAAAAAGGTAAGCCCTTGCATCTTTTTAAAATTTTTGGTTATTAACTTGTTCTGATGTGCATGGACTCATTCCACCAGTCCTTCCCTTCAATATGCATTAGGTTATTACTAGGAAACTAGTGCTGTGATGGAAGTGATCCTTTCCTTTTTTAATAGTGACAGCGCTTAAGAAAAATGTTGATTTGTTTTTAATCCATGATGCATAATTAATTTCTTCTAGTTGCAAATACATAAATATCTAAGGAAAGTTTGCAGTGCGCAAATGTGATATGACAGCAGTAACAACATTTATAATATATATATTACTTTAGAACTAAAATAAAAAATTCTCTTGGAGACAGTCATTTGGAAGTCTAAAACTTAGTTATTAGTGTGTGCACTACATGTGTTCAAAGGTCAGAGTTTTATATGGTTAGGACAGGAGGTAATGTTGAAGTTTTTCCCCTCGTGAGAATGTTTGCGCTGAAGAAGCAATAATTAACATTTCTACCGAGGAAGTAGAAGAAAAATATGGAACCTTAGGCTAACCGAGTAAATATAATAATCTGAAGCAGATTGAGAAACTCTACTCCAGATTCTCTAGATCAAGGTCTCTTAAGTTTCATTGCTTCCAACATTCTTCTGGGTATTAATAAGCTGCTTTGGTGATTGGAATCACTTGAATTGAGGAATTCTGAAGCATCTATATTCCAACCTGCTAGTCACATTTATATTTGCAATCGTGTTCAGTACATCTCATTAGACCCTCCCTTCCACCCTCAACCTGTTCGGGAACATAATGTAGACCTGTCTACCAAACTTTTCTTTACCTACTGGGCCTTTTATAGGCCGTGTTGCGTCCTCAGACTAGATCCCAAACAAGGCTTGAGGATGTCATTTGCAATCATTTTCAGCTTCCAAGTTTGTTGATATATAAATGGATCTAACCCGCAAGAGTTGGAAAATCTGTCTTTTCTTTTCTTTGTTCTGTTCTTCCTTTCTGTGTACATCATTATACCTCTTCACTATGGTGGCTAATAAATCATGCATTTCCAAGCATGTGTTACTTCCAACTAAAATAAGAAACAGGGTTCGGATTTTCCAAGCTTTGGGAATGCTTTAATTTGGGGGGCTGTGTTTCCTCTTAAGATTGGGAAAGCTTTACTTGATTTTTAATGAACTGATGGATGGACCATGTTTGAATCAATGTCTGCATCTATGAGCATCAAACTTAAGAGGAAGATTTTATTGTTAAGGGGCCTATTGCACTCCAGTAATTTACTCATATCATCGCAGGGTGATACATTATCATCATTAGTCTTTAGCTTGCCATTAAATAATCATCATCTAAGATTCATTTGTCAATATGAGCTTTGTTATTCATTTTCTCCAACTGATGGGTTATTGCTTCATGCAAAGATAACTTGTCTTTGGTTATTGTTTCATGCCTTACAGTTATCTTACTGAGATTGTGAATCTTAAATCCATAGATGTTCTTCAGCTGTTCCTTGAATTCCTCCTTTCTCATTATTGCATGTCACTTATCCATCAAAATTGAGTGTATAAACAAGTTGAACCATCCAGTAAGAATCTTCTTCATTACCAGGTGCTTCTCCTATGATGCCAAGAGGTGGTAAGATAGATGTTTTAGATCATAGCTAGGTAGAAAGCATAGATTGGAATTTTAGATGTCCCATATAGCGTATTTTTTTTTGGATAAAATTGCTGAAATGTTGTCCTAAGTTCAAGCTGCTAATGTCTAAGTGAATACTTTGTCAGGATGCTAAAGTTTCAAGTTGTAACACACAGTCCTTCCTTGTATCTAAAAGAAAAGGAGAAACTTGTGATCTGCATGTTGCTTTACTCTTGGTATTCTTGTGCATGAAGAAACCACCTCATGGTTCTGATCAGACTGCTAATTTCTGCAGGTTGTCTCAAACATATCAAAAGTGTTTCCAAAGGACACAGAAGCCCCTCCTGGAGGGGTGGATGACATGACGAAGCTTTCATATCTGCATGAACCTGGAGTTCTGCAAAATCTAGCTGCTAGATATGAACTTAATGAAATCTATGTGAGCCATATTACTCTTTTCCCCCCACTTTAATATTGTTCGGATGCTGAAACAAGTAACAAATATTGGAGGAAAAGGAAATATTCCCATGATGATACTGCTTTTACTTTCCCTTTCCAGACATACACTGGCAATATCCTGATAGCAGTTAATCCATTTCAAAGATTGCCTCATCTGTATGACACTCACATGATGGAACAGTACAAAGGAGCAACATTTGGGGAGCTAAGTCCTCATGTTTTTGCTGTTGGTGATGCTGCATACAGGTGAATGGAGATTCATCTCATACATTTGACCATTTTTTAAACATTCTTTTGTTATTTCTTACTGATATGTTATAGAACGATAAAATAGGGCAATGATTAATGAAGGAAAAAGCAATTCAATTCTGGTTAGTGGGGAGAGTGGTGCTGGTAAAACAGAGACAACAAAGATGCTTATGAGATATCTTGCCTACCTGGGAGGACGATCTGGAGTAGAAGGAAGAACAGTTGAACAACAAGTTCTGGAGGTAAGATGAACGTATCTTTGCATGTTGGAACTTGTTATTCCTTGCCTTGGTTCCTCCACATGCATGAAAGGTATTCTGATGGCCATGTATCAGTTTTCCCATTGCATTTATATAAGTAATGATTAATTATATTATTTTTTACTGTATTCTATCAAGTGTAATTCTTGTGTGTTGATGTCTTCTACTACTGCTGAAAATTACAGTCCAACCCAGTTCTTGAAGCATTTGGCAATGCGAAAACAGTTAGGAACAACAACTCAAGGTGTGCGCTGCTTAATGGTTTTATGCATGTATTTACAGCAATATTGCTTGATTCTGGATATCTTTAAAGGTATCTTAGTAATTGAGGTTCTTAGCACGATGTTTTCTTGATGTTCATTGTGGTGTGTCAATGCAGTCGTTTTGGTAAATTTGTGGAAATCCAATTTGACAAGAGTGGGAGAATATCTGGGGCTGCTATCAGAACTTATCTACTTGAAAGATCTCGTGTTTGTCAAATTTCAGATCCAGAAAGAAACTACCATTGCTTTTACCTTCTTTGTGCTGCACCGCATGAAGTAATTTGCACTCATTTTCCCTTCTCTTTATGTTACTTCATGGGCAGTATATTACTATCACTAGTTGCTTATGTATGCAAATGTTGATTCAATAAATTTATTCTTTTTATTTTTATTTTTATTTTTGCAGGATATTGAGAGATACAAATTGGGAAGTCCAAAATCTTTCCATTATTTAAATCAATCGAATTGTTATGAGTTGGACGGTGTAAATGATTCTCATGAGTATCTTGCAACCCGAAGGGCTATGGATATAGTTGGAATTAGTGACCAAGAACAGGTTCTCTTTCTGTAGTTTCAAGAGTTTTGTTTTATTATTACATGATGGTCTAAATATTTTCTATGTATGCAATTATTTTCAGGAGGGAATTTTTAGGGTTGTGGCTGCAATTCTTCATCTTGGAAATGTTAATTTTGCCAAGGGACAGGAGATAGATTCCTCAGTTATTAAGGATGAAAAGTCTAGATTCCATCTCAGTATTACTTCTGAACTTCTCAGGTATATATTCTTCACTTTTCCATGTTTGAATAATTGCCCGTATCTTGATCCGCTGGTTATTTATTGTATCTCTAACTAATCTTGATAATGCATAGGTGTGATGCAAAGAGCTTGGAAGATGCCTTAATTAAACGTGTAATGGTTACACCAGAAGAAATTATCACAAGGACTCTTGACCCTGAAAATGCAGTTTCTAGCAGGGATGCTTTGGCGAAGACGATATATTCTCGCTTGTTTGACTGGTAAAAGCTCAGTAAACCATGTTTCTTTCCCATGGCTCCCAAATGGTTGGATGTTTAGATAAGAATTTACTAATGACTTTTACATTTATTGTGCACAGGCTTGTGGATAAAATTAATGTTTCAATTGGACAGGATTTAAACTCAAAATCAATAATTGGAGTACTTGACATCTATGGTTTTGAAAGCTTTAAGTGCAATAGGTAAGTCATTGACTTGACACGCTTATTGTATCATTTGAGCAAGGTGCTTTTGTTTCTTTCTACCCAACAAACTGTTCCAGATTATTATCCATTTGTTTGCTTGGAATTGGCTTTAAACAAAGCCTTTTTAGTGATACATGAAACACGTTTCCACTTTTCAATGGAAACTATAGAAACTTTTCTTTTTGTAAATCTTTGCTACTTCATTGCCTTTGAACGTGTTCAGACTCTTGAATCGAAACCATGACCAATGCTTCCACAGTGTTTGGGATGGTGCTTCATGAAAAACAAATAAACCCAACATTCCATGTTTAGGATTTTTCTTAATGAGGAACTGCTTTGAACAATACTTGCCATCAGGCCTTAGATATCACAAATGCTCATTCCATAACAACTATGCCATGCCACTCCTTTTTCCAAACCAAAAGGAGAAGGAAATAAAGTAATTGTGCTTGAAATATGACTTACTGCTTCTCTGCTTGTGTATGTTCTCCTAAAACAGTTTTGAGCAGTTCTGCATCAATTTCACAAATGAAAAACTACAGCAACATTTCAATCAGGTTATCTTTCTTAATCAACGAGTTTAGCTTGCTCTTTTGACAACAGATTAATATTGATTTGTTATTTTCCAACTGTATGTTTGTAGCATGTGTTTAAAATGGAGCAGGAAGAGTACACCAAAGAGGAGATAAACTGGAGCTACATTGAGTTTGTTGATAACCAGGATGTATTGGACCTAATTGAGAAGGTTTTTAGCTTCTCAATTGTACACCTTTTCAATTCTAGGATTTGATGTTTCATCATCTTTCATCATTTTCAGAGTATTTATCTAGTGATGGTGAAGAAATGAGCCTATTTAATTTATTGCTATTGTGTCTTGTAATTCACATGATAAATAATTCATTTTGTTCTCTTACAGAAACCTGGAGGAATAATTGCACTTTTAGATGAAGCCTGGTATTCTGCTCTCTTTAATTATTGATTCCATTTTTATTACTGTTATGTGTTTATTAATCAGAAATGGGTTTTTTCGTATATATTGCTCTTCTTTAGAGGTCATCTTGAAGTCAATACTCATGTTTGTCTAATTGTTGATGCAGCATGTTTCCCAAGTCTACACATGAAACATTTGCGCAAAAATTGTATCAGACATTCAAAAATCATAAACGTTTTATTAAACCAAAACTTTCCCGCACTGATTTCACCATATCACACTATGCAGGGGAGGTAAACTAATTACATTTTTTGTTTTATATGTACTTCTAATCTTCTTTTATTGACAGGGGGAGAAGTTCTAGGAATTTTCATAACTTGTAAAATTTTTCCTGATGTGAAGGTAAATTATCAAGCCAATCAATTTCTGGACAAAAACAAAGATTATGTGGTGGCTGAACATCAAGCCCTGTTGACTGCTTCAAATTGCCCTTTTGTGGCGGGCCTATTCCCACCACTTCCAGAAGAATCATCGAAGTCATCCAAGTTCTCTTCCATTGGTTCACGCTTTAAGGTATTTTTTCTTTTTGACTTCAATTCTTTAATTGGTATTTGGTAGGCTTTAAATTATCAACGTCCTTGTTACTGGTCCTGTTGTCCAAAGTTGCGTGTCAATATGTTGTGGAGTACTTTTGGATTCTTGTGAAAAGATGCTTCTATAAGAAACAATACGTTGCATCTATATATGATGCTCTCTATAAGAAACAATACGTTGCATCTATATTTGATGCTCATGCCATGCCTTTTCATTTTCTTTTTTTTATTTATTTATTATTATGACAATGTTTAATTACCTTCTCCACTTGTGACATTTGTTGCATGGTTTTTTAAATGTTCAATTTTTTGACATCACTTAATAATGTGGCCTCCCATTCCATTTTAACAAGTTGGAAGTTAGAATGCAGACATGCTGGTCAAGGGCAATTTTCCCAATATGTGTTTGATTTGGATTGGTGCTGGTGGCACCACATCTTCACTTTCCTCACACATGACTCTTAAGAGCTTGAAAATTACAACATACTCTGATGGTTGAAAGCAAAAAAATATTGGGTTGACTTCTAATAAGACCACCCTTGTTACATTTCAGAGAATTTTGGTGTTGACATTTTAAATTTGCTTCACTTTAGAGTGGCTTCATGAACTGCGAAGTGTTACCAGTCACATTTTAGGTAGCATATCTATGGTTCTTTTAATAGCCATTTTCATGTTGCACTACTATGATTATCTTATGGTTGCTATGTATATATGATGTTATGTCTGCTTTTTCCCAATAGAAAACCCTAATCTCTAGCTTTTGAGCTTACAACCTTTTCCGTTATAGTAGTAAAAGACAACATAGTGGGTTTATTGATAACAAATTCTTGCATTATTTATGAGTTATGTGACTCATTCCAAGGATAATGTCACAAATATTGTTTTTTGAATTCTCAGCTACAACTTCAATCTTTGATGGAGACCTTGAGTGCAACTGAACCCCACTACATTCGATGTGTGAAGCCAAATAACATCCTGAAGCCTGCTATTTTTGAGAATTTCAACATCATCCAACAGTTACGATGTGGTGTGAGTATAATATGCTTCAAAGCATTCCTTTCATCTGATCAATCATTAGAAGTTTACATCTTTAAGCTAAATTTCAGAGCTTACCTTTCCAATAAACTGATTTTGTTAGCTTCTTATGATTAGGGTGTTCTTGAGGCAATTAGGATTAGCTGCGCTGGATATCCAACCAGGCGAACCTTTTATGAGTTTCTTAATCGTTTTGGATTACTTGCTCCTGAAGTTTTGGAAGGAAAGTAAGTATCATTTCATAATTTCTCTATGTCATGTGTTACGATAAAGATTAAGGATTTTGCACCACCAATTTCTTTAGGTCATGTGTTACGATAGATATGGTTTATTTTTTCATGTGGCAGCTCTGATGATAAGGTTGCATGTCAAATGATTCTTGATAAAAAGGGACTGATAGGATACCAGGTGACGATGCCTTTATTTATTTTTTATTTTCTGTTTTACTTTATTTTTCAGATCACTTCTTTTTTTTTTATTTGATTTTGATCTCCAGTTTTTTTTGTTGCTTGGACTATTATCGCAGTGATGATGGGAGTGTTAACTAGAAAAATGTTTCCTTGACTCCTAACTTTTTTTTCCTGTATTATGAACTAACACGCATTTGAAATTGTGTAGTTAATGCGCGAGATTTTCTTCAAATTAGAGGAACAAAACTAAAATAAATTAATTTCAAGTTTATTGAATTTGTTTGTTCATAACCTATACCATCAGAACTTTCTTTCTTGTAGTTGTTGATAATAAAGAGTTTCAATTGTTCATAATCATGCTTTTGATCATTTAGCATTAATAACTGAATCTACAATATTTATGTGATTGTTAGATATTGATCTACATAACAATCCCAAACTCAACTGTACTTTCTCTAGCTGTGTGCTTAGAAAAAGAGATTTTAAAATAATACTATTTAATCCATTTTTCATCTTCTTTTCCTTCATTAATTCATAGCAAGATGGCTACAAATTCATAACTACTTAGGGAGACAATGTTCTTCTGCACCACTGGTGACAAACATCTTGTCAAATTCCTAAAGGCCCTTAATATAGTGCATATGAAAATTACTTTAGGTCTTTGCCCATGTTTATCACAGTGATTATCTTGATTCACCCTTGGCAGATAGGCAAGTCAAAGGTCTTCTTGAGAGCAGGTCAGATGGCTGAGTTGGATGCCAGGAGAGCAGAAGTGCTTGGCAATGCAGCCAAAACCATTCAACGGCAAATTCACACTTACATTGCCCGCAAGGAGTTCATTTCATTGCGTGAAGCTGCTATCAATTTGCAATCTTATTTAAGAGGTAATTTCCTGGACTCTCTTAAATTGCCTTAGTGAGTTTGTTTTCATCTGTATTTGGTATATCACCAATAAATGCATTTTACTGTTTTATGACACTTTTTAAGTTTATGTACTTTATTTTAATTAAAAAGGAGTTGTCTAAAAGAATGCTAGAAATCAGGTTCCCTTTGTCTCGCTTCCTATCAATATTAAAAGTACAGTATTCTCTTTTCGAATTGCCTCCTACTTGTTCTCACCAGAATCTTAATTGGTGGAATCCCTATAATTGTTATGCTTCCTCTTTTCCAGGTTATGTATCCCGAAAACTGTACGAGCAATTGAGGAGAGAAGCTGCAGCTTTGAAGATCGAGAAGAATTTCCGTCTCTACATTGCCAGGGAATCCTATTTGAGAGTGAAGTCATCTGCAATCACATTACAGACAGGCTTAAGGGCAATGACTGCACGAAAAGAATTTAGATTCCAGAAGCAAACTAAAGCGACCACCATCATTCAGGTATCATTGTTTTTTTTTAACATAACAATCTCTTCCCATTTTTTGTAGTTATAATTCTTGAATTGTATAATTTTTTCTCTTTTAACTGCTGTAGTGAATAACTCTTCAATTTTGAAAAATTGTTATGGAAACTCTCATGCACTGGTTCCTTACAGGCTCATTGGCGTTGCCACCAAGCTCATTCTTATTATAGACAACTGCAGAAGGCAATAATAGTTTCTCAGTGTGGTTGGAGATGCAGAGTTGCAAGAAGAGAGCTCAGAATGCTCAAAATGGTCAACTTTTAACACCATATAACTTCAGCAATATGCAGATCTGTATAAAGAGCTCGTGCTAAATTTTTGCTTTTGAAATTTATTTAGGCTGCTAGAGAGACGGGGGCACTTAAAGAAGCAAAGGATAAGCTGGAAAAGCGTGTAGAAGAACTTACATGGCGTTTGCAATTGGAAAAGCGATTAAGGGTAATGAAGTTGATTTCTAATCTCACGACTTATTATGTGTTCACTTTAATGTGATGACTTCAATGCTGATTTTTTATTCTGAACACAGATTGACCTTGAGGAGGCAAAAGCCCAAGAATTTGCCAAGTTGCAGGATGCATTGCATGCCATGCAAGTACAGTTAGAAGAAGCAAAGTCTATGGTTGTTAAAGAACGAGAGGCAGCTCGAAAAGCCATTGAAGAAGCACCTCCAGTCATTAAGGAAACGCCTGTCATGGTTCAAGACACAGAAAAAATCAATTCATTGTCAGCTGAAGTTGAAACGTTGAGGGTATGTATGCTATGTTTTAGCATCACTTTCAGATTCTTTTGGTTTCTGTGTTATGCATTATTGTTTCCTTGCTCCATTGAGCACCATTGTCTGCAGAAATATTGCACTTTTTTTAGCACCATTGTCTGCAGAAATATTGCACTTCTTCTTCTTCTTTTTTTTATTGATGTTGAATTTAGTCTACATATGGTGACATTGTGGAAGTAGCCAGGTAAATGTTTCTGTATATGACGTGGAAGGAATAGAATATACTTGCAAAGCTATGTGATGATCTTCAACTACAAAATTGAACTTTCAACGTCCCTGCTGTTCTTGATAAAAAATGATAGCTGCATAGGTGTGCATGTTTGATTTTGAGTGTAAATGGATTTGGTTTATGATCAGGCTCGAAAAGATCCTTGTAGTTGAACCCAACTAGTTTGGGATTGAGGTTTTGTTATTGTTGTTTGACTTCAAGTGTTGAAATAAGTATGATCAATTTACCCAAAAGTGAAAGAAAAATATTTGATTTGGGTGTTAACTCTTGCGTTGAGTACTAATCTTTTGAGTAAACTTAATAATTCTTTAGTTTTTACATGTACTTATTTGTGGTTATACCTGACTATATGAAACAAGAACAATTGTTGAAGATGCAGGCTGCATCTGATGAAAAATTTTGCTTGCACAGGCACAGTTGCTCTCAGAAACACAAATTGCTGACAATGAAAAACAAGCTTATGTTGTTGCTCAGGCCACAAATGAGCAACTAACCAAGAAGCTTGAAGATGCTGAAAAGAAAGTGGATCAACTCCAAGATTCAGTTCAGAGGTTTGTAACAAGTCTGCTTTTTTTTTTTTTTAGGGGGGGTGGGGTGCGAAGCGGTTGTTATCAAACATACAAATTGGGTTTTGATGTTACAAAATTCTTGCAACTATTTGCAATTCTGTCCTCGTCTTGCAGATTAGAAGACAAGGTGTCTAATTTAGAATCAGAGAATCAAGTACTTCGTCAACAAGCACTTGCTGTATCACCAACTGCCAAAGCTTTAACTGCAAGACCTAAGACAACAATCATCCAGGTAAAGAATGCATGCCCTACCTTTCATTTGCATGAACACTTGCATCTTGATGGATATGTTTTACTTATTGTTGAATCCTGAGTGCAGAGGACCCCAGAGAATGGAAATGTTCAAGATGGAGATGTGAAGAAAGCAGTGGTATGAATATATGTTGTTGCATCTGGTTCATGCTAATGTAGAAAAAATTCACATGACTGTATACACCATTTCTGAATGTCTCAGGATTCAATACTTGCCCTACCTAATTCTCGGGAAGCTGAAAATGACGATAGGCCCCAGAAATCTCTTAATGAGAAACAACAGGTAAGTAAGCCGTGATGGAGAAGAGTCCTTTTAGTGGGGGAGTTTCTGTAATTTTGCACTTAAGCCTTGTCAGGAATTAGGTTATTAGTCAACCGTAATGTTTTTCGGGACATTTACCTTTTTGAAGTTTTCTGCCTTTTGGATTTATAAGCTCTCTTGCTTTTCATTATAGGTTTCAGATTATCCTTTCTAATTAAGATTTCTATGAGTCTGAGTGTTGCAAAATCTAATTAGATAGATGACCTTGGATTTTTTTTTTTTTGTTTTACTGCAAGTTTGCGTTTTATTGGTAGTGAAACTCTATTAAAATTGCTCTTCTTCACAAGACTTGTAAAAGGGCTTCCTGAGTTGCAATTCAGCTCTGCTCTGGCCCCAAATCAACCCTAGTATTAGCTACTCACATTGATAGTAGTACACTCAATTTTCAAATTCATTTACCTTCCTACAGTTTTCCTTTACGGAAATCATGGAGACATAATAGTGATGGCATAAAGTTATGAATGCTATTTTTTTGGGTTCCCAGACATTTTTTTTCTTGCTATGCTTTGTCATGACATGTCATCATCTGTGGTGCAGGAGAACCAAGACCTGCTAATTAAATGCGTGTCACAAGATTTAGGATTCAGTGGGGGCAAACCTGTTGCTGCTTGTATGATATACAGATGCCTTATTCAGTGGAGGTCATTTGAAGTTGAAAGAACAAGTATTTTTGACAGTATCATTCAAACAATAAGTTCAGCAATTGAGGTGACCTAACCTATATTCTCATTTATGGCATACAATAATATTGTTACATGTTAGAATATACACCTTCTCAGTGACCGTATCTTTAACAGTTCGAAATAAATCAATCTCACATCTTTGCTGAGTCTATGCCCCAGTTTGTATTTAATCAGTCCCTGGAATCTAGAAATATTAGTTTTGCTTTTATATTCATAGAATATACCTTTTATCATTTGCTTAGGTCCAAGAGAACAACGATGCATTGTCATACTGGTTATCAAATTCTTCCACACTATTATTGCTACTACAACGCACCCTAAAAGCAAGTGGAGCAGCAAGCTTAACTCCACAACGGCGAAGATCAACATCAGCTTCATTGTTTGGAAGGATGTCCCAAGTGAGAACAACTCTCTCCTCTCTATCAACTTTTTTTGGGAAAATACATTTCATGTCTCTTGCCTTGCAGTTCATAATGATTTTTTTTTTTTGAATCTCAATAAAATATTAGGGGCTTCGTGGTTCACCACAAAATGCTGGGTTCTCATTCCTTAATGGTCGGGTGCTTAGTGGACTGGATGAATTGCGACAAGTTGAAGCTAAATATCCTGCTTTGCTTTTCAAACAGCAATTAACAGCTTTCCTTGAAAAGATATATGGGATGATTAGAGATAACTTAAAGAAAGAGATTTCCCCTGTGCTTGGATTGTGTATCCAGGTAATCATTGCATGCTATTTTTCTTAAAATTGTATGTACTTCAAAGTATGTTATAAAATTGGATTGAACTCTTTTAAGTTGTGATTGCATAGCATTCATTATTGCTTTCCTTGGTTGTGTGATCCTGATTTGTTATGGCATCCAGCATGTTTCTTCTCCCTAATCATGTTTGAAATATTAAATGCAGGCTCCCCGGACGTCACGAGCGAGTTTAGTCAAGGGGCGCTCTCAAGCCAATGCTGTAGCTCAACAAGCTCTGATTGCTCACTGGCAAAGCATTGTAAAAAGTCTAAATAATTGCCTAAAGACTATGAGAGCCAACTATGTGAGTGGGAAGTTTGTATAAGGAAAATGATCAACAATTTTATTTCCTGTTTAAATTGCATTATCATATTTGTGTTGTCTGTACAGGTTCCCCCATTCTTAGTCAAGAAAGTGTTTACTCAGATATTTTCATTTATCAATGTTCAATTATTTAACAGGTAATTGCAATCAACTCAAATTTGTTATGTAGCTAATTTGCTTTGATGACATGATATTACTTACTAATATTTCAATCATGCAGCCTTCTTTTGCGGCGTGAATGCTGCTCATTCAGCAATGGGGAATATGTAAAAGCAGGGTTAGCTGAGTTGGAACAGTGGTGCCACGATGCAACAGAGGAGGTAACATGTCTTAACAATTGGTAATCCTTCATTCTTCACATCTTTTGGAAGACTAAATTTAGCGTCTCCTCGCCATCCAGTTTGCAGGCTCAGCATGGGATGAATTGAAGCACATTAGACAAGCCATTGGCTTTCTGGTTTGTTAATACTCTCTCTCTCTCTCACATCATACTCTCTCTCTCTCTCTCTCTCTCTCTCTCTTCTCTCATTAGAGTCAACAACTTTTACTTATTATTTCTTCTCCTTCCATTTGTTTTATTTTGGTTATCCAGGTTATACACCAGAAGCCCAAAAAGACTCTCAAAGAAATAACTAATGATCTTTGCCCGGTGAGTAACACCCCACCCCCACCCAACCACCCCCATTGGCAGCTCTCTCAATTTTTTTATGTTTCTCCTTTCAGGTGCTTAGCATACAGCAGTTATACAGGATCAGCACTATGTACTGGGATGACAAATATGGCACGCATAGTGTATCTTCAGATGCAAGTCAAATTCTTCTCACTTTTAAGTCACTTTCATTTCTATTTTGAGACTTTCTGCAGATACCAACTGATGGAAAAGCAAACATTAAAGGTTTTATGTGCAAGGTTTAGGCACAGTTGTGTAGTTTGAATCCCCATCCCCCCTTTTCTTTCTCCCTTCCAATTCCTAAGCGTTAATATGGAATGTGCTGTGGCCCCTTTGTTTTGCATAACTCATGCTAATGGTTTGGTTTCCCTCTGAGCCCCATCCTTTTTGGATGTCTCTTGTTTGTTTTTTCATTAAGATGTATGGAATGTGCTGTGGCCCCTTTGTTTTGCATAACTCATGCTAATGGTTTGGTTTCCCTCTGAGCCCCATCCTTTTTGGATGTCTCTTGTATTTTTTTTCATTAAGATGTCAGTAACTTCAACCACCATCCAACTTAATACCAAATTTATTCACTTCGTTTGCTATGACCAGTCTTTGTTATCTATGCCCCTCATTTTCTTTCACCTACAAAACTAAATATCCTAAATATCACTGATTAAGATTTCTCCCATATTTAGGTAATTTCAAGCATGAGAGTTATGATGACGGAGGACTCAAACAATGCTGTGAGCAGTTCTTTCTTATTGGACGATGACTCAAGGTAATAAATTTTGGTAACCGTATGCCCTGGCTTTAATTTTGATACGTGTTTTTCTGCAGCTAAACAAAAAACGTCACTCTCTTGTGCAGCATTCCATTCACAGTGGATGACATTTCGAAGTCAATGCAAAAAGTTGAACCTTCTGATATTGACCCTCCACCTCTAATCCGTGAAAACTCAGGTTTTTCATTCTTGTTACAACGTGCAGAATGAGATTCCATGCTTATATTTTCTTGCCAGCTCAGCTTCGATGTCCTGGCACTTCTCCCAAGGGCCGCGCTCCAGAATCTGTGAATAGTAATCTTTTCCCCAGCTGCACTGTAAATTATAGTTCCTTTTCTGGCAGTGTCTTGCCATTTCTTATGTTTATTGGTGATTGTGTGGTCAGATGCATCAGGGGTCAAGTTACTTGTTATCCCTATTGGGATTTATAATGTGTTCTTGTCCCTTTGTTCTGTGCCCTATTTCAAGCACTGTATTTATTTCATTTTTATTAGAAAAAAGGGGGTACCTTATTATTCTTTAGGCCAGTGTGGTAAATTTGTTGATCATAGTGGTGGGCATGCTTTTTTCTTTGGGCCCAAACTAGTTGTAGTTTGACTGTAATATAATGGATCATATTCTATTCAACTATTGTAAAGATTATCGGCATATGGTCTAGTTCCATTCATTTTGTTTCGGCAGGTAATGTGGCCGGTTGATATGATATGATTTGAATGCTTGCTATTTGCCTTCCAAGTCTTAAACTGGAAGAAACTTGTCAGCATGCAAAACATGTTCAAGTTTCATATTTGGAGTCCTAGAACATTTTTAGTTGTTGTAAATTTCATAATTGGAGGAGTCCTAGAACATTTTGATTTGTTGTAATGGTCATATCGAGGAGTGGAATTCAAAGACCTCTGGTGGTATCGGCCATTACAATCTTATGCGCATGTTAGGGCTGGTGGCTGTGCTGATTGATTCTTTAGCTCTTTCGGCTAAAGTCACATAATCTTCCTGTTATGGAAGATGCCCTTCAGGCCCCACAAAAAATAAATGTAATTATTTAATTAAATGCTTGTCAATTTTGTGGGGATGGTTGTTAAGACTTTCCATTTTTCTCCAATATGCCAGATTGTGAGACTGCTAAATAATTTGTGAACTATATTTATTGTGTGCGTATTTATGAATAAATTTAATAATGATTGTAAATTCATCAATATTTATTTCGATGGCTGAATTCATTTGTATTGATAAATCTCATGCATATGCATGTTATCTTTTTTTTTTTTTTTTAAAAAAAGGGTAAAAACTGATTGCAATGTACAAGCAAAAAAGAATGTTTTATTTATAAGCATGACGTAGCCAAGAAGACTTTATATAAGATTTACTTTAGCTGTACCT